GGGTCTCCAATGTTTTGTTCTATAACAAAACATCCACGTGTTCATTCAAGTGTCACCACACTTTAGCTTGTGAGATCAGCTACTTACTTCACAAGTAAGAATGCCACACGCGATAGTCTATCCGTAATAACGATATCCGTATCTCGTTATTACTTCGTCCACTGACGATTTAAAATTCGATCATATGTAATTTTTATCTCACAATCAAAACTCCCTGTGATTAACAAATCACCAAGACTTGAATCTCCGGATTCTATTATTTAATTTATTAGAATATTAATTCAATTAAATAATAGATATTGCCATACATATGCATCAATTATATATATTTAAAGTGTTTATGTTCAAAGTTGATTGGACTTAGACCCTAACACTCACAATTTGTTGCGACATAATTGGATATCATGGAGTTGGATATTGATGGACCATTTCCATTTGGATAAATGAGTTTTCTCTTCCTCTCATTTCAAGCAATTTTGTGACAATTAAGATTCTCTGTTCCAACCTTTGAGGTAAAAGGCAGTTATGGAATTTATGTCATGATATTTGTTGGAATGTAATTAAGTTGTAAACATATTTTACCATAGGGTATAAGTAAAATAGGAAACATAAGCATTTTTGGTAAGGTAGTTTAGACAATATTGAATAGTATTAAAGAAGGAACAAAAAAAAAAAAAAACTCAAATTTTGTTGTTGTAATGCCTATACCATCTAATGCTATAAATGACAATATTAAAAATCTGAATAGGAATACTCCTGCAATAAAGATTTTGGCATTTGTGTGTAGCACTAAGGGCAACATTCTTGAACCTACTAACCAGTATGTAGAAGTGATTTTTGGGATATGTATGGGGCTTTCTAGCTTAATGCTCTTTACTCTATTAGTTGGTAATATTTAGGTCATTCTTAAATCTATTAGCACTTCACATTTATTTCTTTGGTTCGTCTTGCAATATCAAAGTAAAGTATCATATACTTATTGATCCATACATTTCTTGATGAAAAAGGTTTTCTTGCATGCGCTCACGGTAAGAAGGAAAAAAAATACAGCTAAGGTATCC